TCGCTAAACTGGGTTTCATGATATCATTCTTGATCATGTAATCAATTTCATCTTTTATCAAAACAGCTTTTTCTGGGTTAACTCTATAGGGGTGTTGTTTGACAGCCTTTGCATCTCCTACATCTACATCATGAGGTGGTACTTTTGCTTCTTTGGGGACATCCCCAAAAATAGAGGGAAATGTCTCAAATAACTGAGACAATTTGTGGCTTTCCTCAGTGGACAAATGCATAAGGTGGTAATTTAAATGATCTAAAAAGGAAGAATTTACCAATTTTGGGGTTTCAGTTTGTCATGTATCACATCATTAGAAACATTTATACATACAAGTAAAGTAATTTTATCTGTGGAATGAAGATTGGTACAATTATCATAATACTTTTTCAGTGAGTTAACATGATACACTGTCTGTTTCTTTCTTCTGTCTGGAGTATTGACAACATAGTTCAAATCACTTAATTTTGAATGCACCGTAAAAGGTCCACAATATCTTAAGGATAACGCATTGTTCAGGTTAGGCACGAGCACAAGAACTTTCTCGCCTGGATTGAATGTTCGTTTACGAGAACTCTTATCATACAGTCCTTTCATTCTCACTTGGGCCTTTCTTAAGTTCTTGAGAGCCAATTCGCACACGGCTTTCAATCGAACGTGAAAATCGACAAAGTTCTCCACTGGGTGGTTACTGGTACCTGTCCAACGCTCGTGGATTAGCTTCAGGGGACCACGGACAGAATGTCCAAACACAAGCTGAAAAGGAGAGTAACCTAGAGATTCCTGGACACAGTCTCTAGCGGCGAAAATAATCCATGGAACAGTTTCATCCCATTGGGTGTTACTTTTAGCGAACGTTCTCAGCATGGTTTTCAGTGTCTGGTGAAACCTCTCAAGTACACCTTGAGACTGAGGGTGGTAGGCTGAGCTGGTGACGTGGGTAACGCCTAGCTTGGCTAGCGCTTCCTGAAAATGGTGGCTGGTGAAGTTGCTGCCTTGGTCTGTTTGAACGATTCTAGGTAATCCAAAGGTAGTGAAGAACCGGGTCATGGCTCTGACTACAGTCTTTGCCTTAATGTTCCGTAAGGCGAACGCCTCGGGAAAACGGGTACTTGAACACATAAAGGTAAGTAGGTACTCGTTGCCCGCCTTGGTTTTAGGCAAGGGACCTACACAGTCCATTATGATTTTGGAAAAGGGTTCTTCTAACACAGGAATCGGACTCAAAGGGGCCTTAGGAATTTTCTGGTTTGGCTTCCCGGCCAACTGACAGTTCGTGCAACTTTTGCAGTAACGCGACACATCATTTTTCATTTTCGGCCAAAAAAACAGTTCTTTGATCTTCGCCATTGTTTTCGTGACTCCTGGGTGCGCTGACATCGGATGGTCATGTGCCAGTTTCAGTATTTCATGCCGATAAGGTGGAGGGACCCACAGCTGGTTTTTACCCAACCATGGTTCGGCAGGTGAGGCATCCACTGGTACAGAGCGACGAAAGATGAGGTCGTTCTCGGAGAAATACTCCCCATCGTCAGCTGAGAGTGATTTTTCGACCATTGCTTTGAGTTCCGCGTCGACTTGTTGAGCTTTAATGATGTCTTCCTGAGATATCCTCAGGGGTAAGCCCTGGCTTGTGTTCTCTGGAAGCATAGACTCCAGTTTGGGAGATGGATTTCCCGACGATGATGGTAGGTGTGGTTCAGGCACTGTGTCAGCCAATTGTTTGGTCTGGCTTCTTGTCACCACACATGCAGGATACAGTTCATTATCATTATCTGGAACTGTTGACAAAGGGTTTTGAACCGAACAGGGGTATACTTTACTTCCCGCAAGGTCATTCCCTAGAAGCAGGTGTACTCCTGGGACAGGAATACTATCTATCACACCTAAAATGACTTCACCTTCGACGAGATGATGTTTCAGGGAAAACTTGTGTAGAGGGACTACAGTGGATTCTGCCCCCAATCCTTGGATAATGGAAACATTTCCGGTGTTCGTCTCCGGTGTAATGTCCATTGAGCTTTTCAAAAGAAGTGACTGTGACGCTCCTGTGTCTCTTAGGACGGTGATATTCCGCTGAGACAACGGATCACCTGGTTTGCTAATGACAGCGTCTGCAATGAAAGATGAAAAGTCAACCTTTCTCGATCCCTCGAGATCGGTAGACTCGGAAGAAACTGGATGGTGGCGTGAACAGTCAAAATGTGACTGAACGTAATGGGTGGAGACTTGATTTCCTTCCTGTGGACACTTAGGGTTAGTGTCATTCCGAAGACTAGAGTTCAGATTTGAACTGGCTGCTTGATGGACGAGAGCATTGTGCGCAGAGGTACGCACAACCTCTCTGTTAACTTGATGACGCTTATAACAGTCCTTGATAAGGTGACCAGGTCTCTTGCAGAACTGGCATACTGCTCGCCGACTGAGAGTTGACCTTGGCTTCTCTCTGGACTGTAACGACTTTAAGTGTTGGCCAACAGGGGGACTGTTGCCAAAAAGGGGAAGTACAGGGTTGAGGCGGTTTCCTGACACTGGTGGTTTCATATGCACCAATGTATATGTGTCAGCCGACTCAGCAGCCTTCTTGATGTCGACTATCTTGTTATCCAGGATGTGTAGACGTATGTCTTCAGGTAGGGAATTTAGGAATTCCTCCCTCAGAACAAGTGATTTGAGTTTCTCAAACTCTGAGACTTCCTCTGAGTTTAGCCACCTTGAAAAAACTTTCTCTTTTTCGAAGAGAAATTCTACATAGGATTGAGTAAGTAGCTTTCGGAGATTTCGGAATTTCATCCGATAAGTCTCTGGGGTCAATTCGTAGGCTTTCAAAATGGCAGTGTTGACCAGCCCATAGTTAGTTTGAACGTCTTGAGAGAGTGCCTGATATGTGTTTGCAGCTTTTCCTGTAAGAACCGTGCTTAGTAAAGCAGTAATAGAAGTTTCGGGCCATTCACATGCCTTCGCCAAACTCTCAAATGAGTTAAACAAGACAACCAAATCTATTTCATTAAACTTAGGAACTAATTTCCCAAATTTGACAATCACCTGCCCCACCGACAACTTTTTTGGTTCCTCTAGAGAAGTGACATCACCACTAACCTTACAAAATTCTAATTCCAACCTCCTCTTATCTAAAGCAAATTTCTCCTCACGGAGTATCACACCAGCCAACAAACTCTCTTCGAACACACCTTCATTGATAAAATGAACTATTATTTTATCTCTTAGCACCTCTGATTTCTGAGTGACAGAATAATCTAACTTCAATTCCTTTACAACACTAATTAAATCTTTCCTACTTAACTTCTCTGCCTCCTCAACTGTGGGTTTTAACAAAAAAGATTCCATTCCCATTAGTTTCAAACTCAAAACAAAACAGAACTAAATTAACACAGCCCAACGCTCTGCTATGAACTTGACCTTAAATCTAGGACACGACACGTCTGGCTTTCTGACCTAGATAACTCTAGCCTTGAGCGGCGCTTTTACACAGCCCCACTGGGTTAAGAAACAACTAACTAGAACTGAACCTAGTGTTTAAATGTTTAAACCAACAACTCGTACAACAGATTACATCCCGGCGAGTCCACACTTTTGTAACGGACACCAATCTATCAGCCAGATAGTTGGCGAACGTTCCCGGATTCGCTTAACAGATTACACACAGATGGCGACAAGCCTAAATAAAAGAAAGTTAACACACTAGTACGCTAGGACTCGTAATTGATGTCTAGGGGAAACACTAGAGAAACTACTGATGCCAACAATACATTTAATCTGCATATAACTTGTAATGAGTGTACAAAGTCGTGGCAGAACACTAGATTTATACAGGAATAAAATAGATTTACAGAATGAACAAAACCCAGCTTACAATTCGTGGGAAAAAATAATATGATACACTATCACAGCTTTTAACACTTCAGAAAAATCACCACAGTATACACATCACTGCTATAAGCATAAGGAATTACTTAACCACAAGTAATATAAGAATATGCTATTTAAACAACTTAGTACTACACGGCAACACACAGGGCTTATGTCTCTCAACGACGTCTATTCAATGAACTGCCTCGAGACACCTGTGGGCAGTCTATTTATAGACTTAGGCAACATGGAAGGTCACCTTCAAATGAAAAGGCCATTGGTTGGGGTGGTCATCTGGTCTGAATCAATCAATCATATCTTGATGGAAATTTTCTGAGTCTAAGACTCTCTTAGTAAGTCAGCGGAAAAAAACCGGTCATTGCACCACAGACCATATATGGTATTATAACAACTGTCAAAATAAAATTACCAGACCTAAGTAGGTCACAAGGGACACATCTGTCCTATGCTGTATCTAAAAAAGTACAGTATCAAGAAATCTAATGTTGATTATCATTTGAAAAGTATTAGATTCAGTTTTTAACTAAAATGAAAGAATTATGTCTGTAAGTTTGAAGGATGGACGAATGTACAAGCTCTTCTTTCACCTGATCGCTGGAAGACTGACAGCAAGTTAATAATTTTATAATTTCAAGTTATTACATTTTCTAATTTTCTATTTAGCTCTAAATTAATAGTTGTAAATTAAATTTGAAATTAAATATTTATTCATGTTGTAATTTTTAACATCTATTGGAATTACATGTCTACAAAATTGTATCAATATCAAATCTGGCATTAATTAATGGCATTAATTAATAAAATATGACAACAGCACAATGCTATAAAAACAGAGCTTCACAAACAAGTCTTTTTTAAAAGTAGTTGATTGTTTAAAATATATAATAAAATCACTTAGAATTAGATTTGAATTGTTTGGATGCTTTATAGTTTTTGCTCTATTGTGATTTTAATATGATTTTTAGTTTAAATATAGTTTTAGATTATTGTAGTATATATTTAAAATACATTTTTACTTAATCAATATTATGAAATAATATCTATTGGATTTTATTAAACGATACGTCTTTAAAATTGTTCGAATAACTGACATAAGTTAAATGTGACCACCACAGATAACCACATCACACTGAAAAAGTCTCAAGGTAATATCTCCAGCCCGCGATATCCATTTGGCAAACTTGACAACATGATATACACCTGGACTATACAGGGCAAAGCTGACAGTTATATTGTCCTCAAGTAAGTTGCGGTTGTTTTATGATTTACATTTTATAAACTAAAACCCCGTATGTTAGTAAATGCCAAATATTTGAGAATACAATGATTTGCAAGTGAGTAGTATATTAGGTCCCTTTTGGGTCGCATTTTTGGCGGAGGGTGAGGGTAAGGTGGGACAATGAGATATAGGAAAATACTCATCCTCACCCACCCTAGGGTGGGGCAATGGAATATAGTAAAATACTGTGAACCCCTGTGTTGGGTGGTGTCGGGAGGGTTAAAATATGGATATTCCATCTGTTGCCCAAAATCTCATTATAATTCTATCAATTTTTAAAAAAATTTCGGTTGTTTTTAATTAGTTTGTTTTTCGTTCACTTGTTTTTAATTAGTTTGTTTTTAATTAGTTTGTTTGTATGTTTTTTTGTGTTTAATTAGTTTGTTTAATTTTTAAAATAAAGTAGTTTTATTTAAAATGTTTAATAACAAAAACGTTATTTACAGCATTTTTGATCATGATATCATAGTTTTTTTTATTATTTTGTTTTTGTTTGATTGTTCTTAATTAGTTTGTTTTTAATTATTTTTATTTTATTTGTTTGTTGTTTTTAATCAGTTGTTTAATTCTAAAAAGCATGACCTCATAATTTTTTAAAATTTTATTAGTTTGTTTTAATTAGTTTATTTTTAATTAGTTTGTTTTTATTAGTTTGTTTTTAATTAGTTTGTTTTTAATTAGTTTGTTTTTAGTTTTGATTTTGATTGGTTTGTTTTTTAAATTAGTTTGTTTTTAATTAGTTTGTTTAATTAAAAAATAAGGTAGTATTAGTTAAATTGTTAATAACAAAACCTTAACTACAGAATTTTCTGAAAGTAGGTGTTAGTTACATATATATTTTTGTGTAGTATAACTTTTACATATGATATATTTATATATTACTAAACTTTCTTCACATTTAATTGTTTTCTATCATTAGAGAAATCCTTATTGAAATTGGTTATTCAATACGTTCACATTGTCTTTGAAATCCACACCATTCACAAGCTTTCACATTAATCATCAAAGTTGCCTTTGCATATAAAATAGTGGTTCCAATTATAGCAGTGGTCAAACCAATTAACAGAGGGCTCTTACCAAAATCAATACTTGTCGCAATTAACTACGCACATTTGTGCGAAGCTTTACAGAGGGATGGGGGGCCTCTAATGGGGGTAAATGTAGATATCAACTTTGTCTACCCCTTTAAGTCACAGTGGGCCTTGTTTTATAGTGTGACGAGTCTAATGAAGAAATTAAACACTTAACATTTAACCCCAGACCGCTGGCAATAATTGACTTATCGAACAGAGATAATAGGTCTAGTAACTATCAGATTTGTTGGAGTTAATCGAAGATTAATGCATGATACACAACATTTACAAGAAAAGTGCTGTTGTTGATCAAGTTTTCTATTAATTAAGTTAGTCGACATCAGTGATGGGAAGATCTATTTTTACCCTTATTTTTATTCAGACGGTAAGCAGGTTAAATTTAGAGGAGAATGGGGTCGGCCTCGTGGGTGAGCTCGAAACTGTCAATATGGGGACATGTTACTATTGTTAGATTGTCTGGGTGTGGATTCTGCATAACAGACGTGTTGTGAACAATAACGTGGGTTATCTTCTTACCGTTATCAGTATCAGGGAAGCGATTCAAGTTACAATGGGAGAAAATAATCATGATCCAAACACAAATTCGCGCGAATATATATAATTTACATTTCTTACATGTTGAAAGACTTTTAGATGATTTCATATCATCGCGCTTCCCAGCCAGTTAAAAGATAGAAATCAAATGAATGAAGTATTTAACACAATGGTATGAACTTTTATTAGATTTTAATTACTACAAAGTAGACATTAAACAATTCACAAATGGCTGACGTCGGAAACGGGTCTGGACATTGGACCAGATTAAGGGAGATTGAATCCAGTACAGATGAGTAGTGGCTTTCATGAGACAAATCAAGGGAGATGAGTCTGGCGCATGAGTGTTTGTGCAGCGGCCGACAGGTGGAACTTTTATTGAGCCCTTTGATGAGACCCCACCAGCACCCAACCCAGATCCCGTCTGGGCCAGTGATGAGAAGGAAAGGATGCCAACATTTTCTCCATGCTGGCCTGACGGCTACCCTGTGGACCCTACCAGTTTGGCTAAAGATGATTTTGTTTTCATTCGACCTTGCGACAGTGTCAAGTGTGTTTTCTGTTTGAATACATTGAGGGGCCGGGAAACGTGGGATGTGGTAGAAGATGAACATCGACGCCATCATCCAGACTGTCCTTGTGTACGATCTAAACAAAAAAAAGCTAAAAGTAGATCATTGTCGTCCCTTTTTATTATGAGGATACGTTGGAACGATCTTCTTTTAAAGCCTCTGAGTCGGCTCTCACCGTTCTTGTTTAGTTTCCATGACTCTGCATGCTATTAGGGGTATGTAATTTAGTTTTTAAACGGTTTTGAAACTAAGGTAATAACAAGATCTGCGTGATCTTTTTTATTGTCGTCTGTAAACTGTACCACAGACGGCTGCTTTCACGGAGTGTTTGATGGGGGAGGGGGGGGGGGAGTGGAAAGTGAGATATGAATAACTGAAACAGAAAATAAAACAACTTAATAATGGCGAATGTTTTGTGGCGAATACGCACGATGAAACATATTTAGTTATCTTGCAGCCAGTCGCTTATCTGGTACGATTGTATATATATATATATATAATATATATATATATATATATATATATATATATATATATGTATATATATATATATATATATATATATATATGTTACGGTCAAAGCCCGAAGTCGGCCAATGCTAGGATTGGCCGGCCAATCCGTGCATTGGCCAATATCGCCTCCCATAGGTCGGTCAAAGTCCGAAACTTTGCTTGATTTCGGCCTTTGGCCGGCCAATCCGCAGACTGGCCACGGTGGACCGGCCAAAGTCTGAAATAGCTCTTTATTTCGGTCTTTGGCCGGCCAGTCCGCGGACTGGCCATGGTGGATCGGCCAAAGTCTTAATTAGAAGATCCTCTGGCTAGAGACGACCGGCCAAAGTCCGAATTACAAAATCATGAGCAGATTTTGGGTTTTTCAATGCCGTAAGGATCATGAAATTAAGTCTTTATTGATTATTAATTAAAGTAAATGACAGAAACATTCAATTTTTTTTATTGTACTATAGTCTCAATCAATCAATATTATCATTTGTTACAACAAGTTGAACTTTTATGGCATTTAGAATTACATAGCAGCTTATTATTTTTACACTTGCAGCGATTTGTTGTGTACTTGGTTGTGCAATTGTAGCAAGTGTAGCCTTGGCCCCCAGTCAGGGGCGGATTAAGCTTGGGCAGGGCCCCAGGCTGAAACTTTTTGGGGGCCCCTGATATACATATATATATATATATATATATATATATATATATATATATATATATATATATATATATATCCTAATCAGCATACTATTCAAGATATTAATGGATTATTTATAACTTACAGGAACATTCGACACCGACATTTCCAAAACTGCTCATTTAAAATGCTGTCAATTGTGTTCAATGAGCGGTAAATTGGATACAAACATCTTCCCTTCTTTTTCTTCTTTTCTTCTTCGTTCTTAATTTTAATGTTGGAAGGGATACCCCTCCAGCACAATAAAGTATACGGGTCAATGGTTATGCGCCATTGTGACTATTGACTCCGATTTCAGCCTGCTTTTCTTTTTTAAATTTGTTTTCATACCCTTTGTCCAACCAAGAACAAACTACAGCAGATGTTTGATTGTTGAGTTGTCTCTCCTAGAAGAGTGGCTATCCCCAGCTAACGAGCCTCATCTGCCCGAGGATTTGAACTCGAGACATTTCGGTTAAGCATCCACGAGCTTTATCGACTCGACCACGCAGATCCCCTAACATCTAACCAATATGTACTCATTTTTAGCATGATGATTATATGTTGCCCTCACCCCCACCCACTACCACGACTCACACACTAACAAAACACAGTCGAGATCCATCCGCTACGTCAGTAATACTAAACATATGACTGTTTACTTTAGGCCTGTTAAAGTTTCCGACCTCTGCCCCGCGATCTAGACGGGTACCAGACGGTAGGACGATGTCCTACCGTGTCTGGTGGTAGGGGTATTAAAGCCTGGATAGAGCCTACGGATGGATAAGCGAACATCATGTAGTGTTTCAAACCAACATCTCCGTGAGACTGATTCAGTCCACAATTTGCCATTTAGTTGGAGTTCACTAAGTCAAGACCTCCCTGGCTAATGGGAATCAAACCCCTGAGCCTGTATATCCGTGTCACGATAGTTATTGAACTGTAATTCAAGTATTTATATTGGGCATGAGAAAGCTGGAAATGCAGACTAACATTGAACATATGTAAATATCCATGAGAATATTATAATGTCGTTACAGAGCAGACGATAAAAACTGGTGGCACTTGTTTGTTTATAGACGCAAAAAGAAAACAAAGAATATCAAACCACATTATGTAGGAAATTATCAATAACATACAGTGGTTAAACTAGGCCCAACTAAAACTAGTAAGCACGGTATAAGGGTAAACAAAACCACACCTCCATCCTCTTAGGTGTCATCCATTTATGAGGCCCACAAAAAGTTGGATTTCCACAGGTGTCCATTTAAAGAACGTTATCCCTGGCCTGTTAACCCGATATTAACGTTCACTAAAAGTAAAGGCCTATAACTGTTTTTAAAAATTTAAATCATAGTGTTCACACCAGATTCATTTCATTTTTGTGTCAGAAATCGACCGCTGTTTTTGTTTTTAACTCTAAAATCAACCCAATTTATACTAATGCGTGTGCTCGAGTTTGCTATTTTGATAAAAAATTGAAATAAAATTGTCATTCAAATATTAAAACATTTGCTTTTATAGTAAAAAAAACAAAAAACCCGAAGATTTCACTTTAAAGGGAAATTTACTATGATTGAAAAAAGAAATTTGGGGGCCCCTAAAAATCGGGGGCCCCTGGCTGCAGCCCCCTCAGCACCCCCCTTAATCCGCCACTGCCCCCAGTCAATGATTGTGAAGATGCGATGGTTCAAAGTGATTTTTCCTCAGTGCCAACTGACGACAATAAGAGCAGTTTTTCGTGAAGAATTGAAAAACTTCTAGCATACAGTTGTTTTAGAACACCATGTTCCGTTCCTAATTTGTAGAAACCGCCCTCGACGCTCATGACAACTGCAATCACGCTTTGGGGATCACCGCAACATCTGTCAACATCTGGAACACGGATGCGTACATTGTCACCCACTTAAGCATCTTTAAATTTTGTATTTGATATTTAAAGCATCTTAGCACCTTGATTTTGCAAGACAGTATGAGCTGCTGACCTGTGTTCCATGATGTCTTGTTTGTTGTGACACAATCTGCAGGTAATGTTTCCTCAGTACCCTTCGTCTGCTTCATTGGGTACTCCACAAATAGCATGGACATCTTTGCCACAGGATCCACAACAATGAGCTGCACTACAATGTTTTTCACAAACTATACAGAATCTGTTGGCCACATTATTGTCACGCAACTGGTCTGGACGTTCTGCCACGGCAGCAGATGTTTTGTGTTAGCTGAGGATGTTGTTGCATTTATGGCAACCTCCATTTCTTGTTCAATGTTCTCAAGATCTTCCTCAGTAACTATTTTATTGAGAGCCTCTCTTGGTAGATTTGATGTGCTAAGTCCCACCTTTGCTTTGCATCCAAACAAGGCTTCGTATGGTGATTGTTGGATTCCTTGATGAAAAGAACGATTTTTCATAAATTGAATGAATTTGAGACTCTCAACCCAATGAGCTGATTCATTTGTTTGCATCCATGTCATCATCATGTTTTGAACATCTTGGTTGGCACGTTCGACTGAACCTTGGCTTTGACTATGCCTTGGTTTTCCGTGAACTAGTTTAAGTTCAGGCCACATGTTCTTTAGTTCAGAAATAACTTGATTCACAAATTCTCTTCCTTGATCTGATTGAAGCACACTTGGGGCACCGATAGTCGTGAATATATCCAGCAGCTGGTAAGCAACTTCTTCTGCTCTTTTGGTTTCCAAAACTCGCAACAATATGAACTTGGTTAAATGATTCTGGTAACTGAGTATAAACTTTTATTTGCCGTCTGGGTTACTTTGCATATCAATAAGATCTACTTGGCATCTTGAGTTAAATTCTTTAAATATCAAAGGTTTGGAACTTACAAGGAACGCGGCAAAGTCTTTTGAACGTTCCGTCTTGTTGCACGTGGTCGGTGACGCCGACTGTCTTTGATTTTGTTCTTTGATGATTGTCTCACCTCGTCATCATGGAGGAGGCTGTCACATACAGTTGTAGCCCATGTATGGAAACTAACATGGATTTACATTTTTTTCTTTTGACAGCCATCTGCTATGTCTGTCTCATGGTCTGACGGCCCTTTTGATCCATGTCGCCTTGCATATAGAATGCTATACAAACTAGAGATAGACAATACGTTACTCACAATGAAACCGCACCCATAATAATGAAAACGCAATCACAACTTAGTCTAGGTAGAACATTGGCCAGGACATCCCGGCCAATGCGCGCATTGGCCGGCCAATGTACAAAATACGCTGTCAAGTTTAAGCACTTCGGACTTTGGCCAGTACGTCCCGGCCAGTGCGCGCATTGGCCGGCCAATGTACGAAATACGATTTTAGTTCTAAGTTCTTCGGGCTTTGGCCAAGAGAGCCGGCCAATCCGCGCATTGGCCGGCCAATCCGGGGTTTGGCCGCACTTCGGGCTTTGACCGTAACATATATATACATTTAAAGAGGATCTGAAAAAATATAGGGGGAAGAGCTTTTTGTTATTCACACCACAAAACTAAAACCAAGAATGTAAACCTGATTCAAATAGTTGTGAGCGTAAGTTCCACCAACATGTCAGCATGCCGAAATGACTAAACAATTATATCTCTAACAGTATTTTAAACTTTGAATTACGGGATAACAAGCAGAACGACATCCTAAGTATATTTGATGGACCGACAACATTTTCACCGATGTTTGGGAGTCTGACGGTGAAACCTGAATTAATGGCATCAACAGGAAATTCAATGTTCATTTTGTTAAAAAACCCCAAACAAGGCTTTAATGGAACTTATGAGATAAGAGGTAATTTTTTATATATTACAATGAGAATTATCGACACACCATTTTGTGATGAAAATTTCTATGCAAGCTTAAAATAATGCAAGTTTTTAATATATATATATATATATATATATATATATATATATATATATATATATATATATATATATATATATATATATATATGTATATATATATATATGCTAGTCTTTCCGGCTGTCATAGTATAGATAGATAGAATAAGACTAGACTGGTTGAACTACTAAGGACGGTGTAAACTTGACGGTAGACAATTTGGTTCAAGAGTATGTGCGCTTGCTTAAAAAATATTTTTGGCGTAAGTGTGACGTGAGCGTGACGCGACAATGTTACCGATGACGTAGGACGCAGGAGTGAAGACTGTGTAGGAAATGTAGAAAAAGGACGTGTTTTGATATTGTATAATATTATTGTTTGAAAATAAATTTAATTCTGTTTTATGATCGAAGTTATTGATATCGTTAATTAGTGCCATCGGATAATAAGAGTGTTCCCGTCCTCCTCACTTGTGTATAGTTGAAGAGTTAGTTATAGGAGTAGTCAACATATAGATTCATATAGAGGAACGTATACAATTACCCCCCATCACACCGGCCAGGTCCTGCAATGGCCTCTGTGAAAATTCGGATTCGATTTAGTTAAGGACTTTGTAACCTTTCTTCTCTTTAGTCTATGGCATTGTTTAAAACGAAAGTATGCACCATAGCACTCGCGTAATAATCCAGGGCGCCAAATTGAACCCTGCATGGCGCCGGCGGACATGCCTGATACAATTGAATGAACGAATATAATACCTCATCCTCTCCGTTAACCGATATATAGAAATTTAGAAACAACTTCTAAACTGAAATTGAAAGAACAACTAGTCAACAGTATGTTCAGTAAATAAAATATTAAAAGGCAGTATTTAAAATATCCGTGTTTTACCTATCTCACGGACAAATGATATATGTATACAAATACACCAGGACAAATGATTTCATAGTCGATCGATCTCCGACAAAATATCTATATACAATACATATATACAATATATATACAATATATATATATATATATATATATATATATATATATATATATATATATATATATATATATATATATATATATATATATATATATATATATATACTAGGCATACTGCCTAGCTTCGCTTAGGTTTTCAAAAAAAAATTGAGAAATTGAATGATTAATTAATAGATGATTGGCTGTTATGTTAAATGCTTACAGGGGTCGGCAACCTTTTGGAGCGGAAGAGCCAAAAGTTACAATTTTCAAAATTTCCCTGATTTTAAAGAGCCACTAACATGTTTTTAATTTCAAGTATTTTATTTTTTTAGTAAGATTATTAGTATTTGTTCAAGGAGCTGAAGAGCCGCATCTTGATATCAAAAGAGCCGCATGCGGCTCGCGAGCCGCAGGTTGCCGACCCCTGGCTTAGGACCTAAATTTATACAGTGGAGTAATGTTATGTCACTCAAATATTGATGGAATATTCGCAAACTTATTACTCGCAAGGTTATTAGAACTGCAAGGGCTTTCTTAATAGCATCAATCAAATATTATATTAAATAACTTTTGCAATTAATTTTTACAATTTCAGTACAATGCAAAACTTAATTTATAACAAAATGTCTATTTAAAACAATGCTAGACTTTGAGATTTTTGTTTTGTTTTTTTCTAAAAGAGTATACAAAATATTTAAAAATTACTCCATTAAAAAGTTACCTCCCATGTTCATCGACCAAATGGCCAAATCTCGTATAATGAGAATTTCACTCGCGGTCATTTTTAGCCCTCTTCGAGGGCTTTGAGTCTGACCAACAGTTTTTCCATACGGCCGAGTCATCTATAGAGGTGTATACGAAAAATTAGCCAGATATACAAAGAGTAAGTACCCTAAAATCTTTGTTGAAATTAAACTCTGTTTTTCCCATAAAATACAAAGATTATATAGGGAAATACGACTAGTCAGTTTTGACCCATTTACCGATTTTTCCCGGACATGGCGAGTTTTTTGTGACACTCCTAAGCGTTCTCCTACCACCTCACAAAATTTCAAGGGGGGTCGTCGGAGGACATATTTTTCGTAATAAGATCATATAAAGAGAATTTCACTCGCGGTCACTTTTTAGCCCTCGTCGAGGGCTTTGAGTGAAACCGACAGGTCTACCCTACGGTCAATCCATTTACCTATAAATATTCCAAAAATTAGCCAGATGTAAAGAGCGTAAGTGCCCAAAAATGCGTTTTGAAAGTACCCTCTGTTTTTCCCATAAAATACAAAGATTATATAGGGAAATACGACTGGTCAGTTTTGACCCATTTACCGAATTTTCCCGGACATGGCGAGTCTTTTGTGACACCCCAAGGCGTTCTTCTACCATCTCTCGAAAATTCAAGGGGGGTCGTCGGAGGAAATTTTTTTTCCGTAATAGAGTTCATATAAAGAGAATTTCACTCGCGGTCACTTTTTAGCCCTCGTCGAGGGCTTTAAGTAAAACCGACAGGTTTGCCATACGGTCAAGCCATTTACCTATAAACATTCCAAACATTAGCAAGACGTAAAGAGGGTAAGTGCCCTAAAATCTGTTTGAGAATTACCCTCTGTTTTCCCCATAAAATACAAAGCTTATATAAGAAAAAACGACTGGTCAGTTTTGACCAATTTACCGAATTTTCCCGGCAATGGGGGTCGTCGGAGGAAATTTTTTTTCGTAATATAGCCCATATAAGGCACCGGTCAGTCGAGGTCAGTTTTGACCCCCTCTCTTTGGACTTTTCGGCAAACCGTCACCGGCTCTCGTGTCCTATCGCCCCATCCCCAAGGCACCATCGTGCTAAATTTGACGCGCCCGTCGGGCACCTGACCACTTTGCTATATATATATATATATATATATATATATATATATATATATATATATATATATATATATACATATATATATATATATATATATAAATAAACATATATACATATACAGATAGATAGATAAATATATATAGTCCTACTTAATTATGCGTGTCCCAACTATAGTAGTTTTCTATAGATAGCGTGTGAGTTGGTGTGTTGCACGTTTCGAGTCGTCGAAAACCGGGTCGTTACTAGTAATGGGGTGATTTGTGTTGCAATAAGATCGTTGGAGCAGGGAGAAAGGGTCAAGGTTTAGGCGATGGGGGTCATGGTGTAGAGGTGGTGGGTCATGATGGTTAATGAGGCGTAAAGTGAGTGAATGTGTTGGTTTAAGGCGAGCAGGTCGTTAAGTGCAGTGCCATGAGATCAATATGCTGAGGTCTTACAAAGTATAGCATGTGTATTAATGTGTTTTTTTGTCAAGTCGACTGTTATAAATCAAATCTAGTATCTGCCCTGTGAACTGTGTATTGTCGCATTTGGCTCGGTTTCTACGTGTCCAAGTAGTGTGTCTTCTAAATTCGTCCTGTATCATTGTTTGGTGAATTTATTTAATGTCATAGCTATTTCCACGTTGTACGTATCAAACACCACCTGTATCAGATACATATTACTGTAATTAGACACATAGTAGGTAGACTAAGTAATTTGTTAACGTCTTCTACCACAAAAATGGCAACAGTTTGAAAGTATAAACTTTTAAAATCTAACATAAGTAGCCAATTCTCGATATGAGTCTAGTCGTACATTCTGTTTCAATTCCATATAATTTTGTTTGCTAAATAAAATGATTACAATCCAAATCTACATTCTAGATCTTAGAAGCAATTTCATATTTTATTATTAGGCCTTTTTAATTTATTATTTAGTATGTCTACCTAGTGGAGCCAGTCACTCTAACTCAAACCAGATCTAATTGTATTTACAACATGATTAGATTAAGAGCTTGATTCTAGATCTAATTATTAAATAAATACTCCAATCAAATGTTATTATTACTTTTGAATTTGGTCTATTGCTGTTAGTATTTGTCGCATGTTTTTGCCATTTGCCACTGCTTCACTCACATCGTTTCGATAAATATTGGCTAAAAATTGACAGCGTGTACATTCTGTTGAATGTCGATCGCTAATAATTTAGTTTCATATAACCCTTGTAAGTCAAATTAAAGGAATCCCTGTAGATATTCCTCTTCGTTCCATTCGGGAAATCGGTCTTCGGGCAAACAGCATTCGGGTAATTGTCGTTCGGGAATTGTCGTAGACCAATTCATTATAGCTTACCTAGCAACAATTGTTGTTGAGCTAAATTTGTAGGGTGCTATGGTATTTTTTATTTTGATGGAGACTTGTTCCCGTTCGGCATCGTTAGTGTCATGTGGGTTGTTCTAGTGGGTTATGCGTCAACTTTTAATTTTTTTGTACCTATCAGATTTTGATTTAGTGGGTAATTTTGTTTTTTGGTCAATCGTCCAAGTTCCATGATGTAGGTTTTCTTTTGGTTAATTTTTGCCCCGCTAGTCAATGAAAGTGTCTGTTATTAGAGTAATATTTTTTTTTAGTTTGGAGGGTACTGATTTATAATTATATTCTAAAGGGATGGGAATTGGTTATTTAAAAACTCAATAGTGATGGTTTTGTAATAAAAAGTTTCATTTTCCTAACTAATCATTTTAATTGACATGAAAAACAAAATCAAACTAAATATACCATATTAAAATAAATCATAATTGTGTATGAAAAATGTGGAATAATTACATATAGAAGATCTACTGTTTTTGCTAAAATATAAAATGCCGCGGGGAAAGAAGTATATATTGAAGAAGCGTTTCATAAATGCGTTTCATGTTATAATTGGTTAGCTTTACTAATTGAGTATTATTAAACGCTCGATCTAAAATGTCTGTTTGGATCGTCTAAAATAATATGCCAATTGCATCATTCGCAAAGTGACGAAACTGTATAGAAGGGCTTTTTCGCGTTACAAAGTTATTTTTAGAAGTGTGACTTTTTTTTTAGATTTGAAACTTAAGTTTTTACGGAAATATTTTTATTATTTCAAG